TGAGTTATAGCCATGAAGACGACAACCCCATGAGAGAGGCCTCTGAAGAGGAGGTGCTCCATAACAATGTTACTCACCAGAGATCTCATCACCGGTGTCGCCGAGGTGAAAGAACAACCATGCTCACTGAAGGAATGACTCAAATAGCTGCGGGCATGAGAGACATCGCAGCTCAGAATATGGCGATGCATGAACTTTTCATGCAAGCCAGAAGGTTACTAGGGCTCTCAAATGCCCTAAGGATCTTACCCAGTGCAGGAAGTCCCAGTATCTAGGGATGTAAACGAGCCGGGCCGAGTCGGCTCGCGAGCCTAAAATTTCGGCTCGGGCTCGGCCCGGTTAAAAATACCGAGCTTTTCTGCGGGCTTGAGTTTTGCTCGGCCAAAAAAAAAGGCGGGCTTTTTACGGGCCGAGTCGGGCAGGCTCTTTTTTTTCTCTCTCTCTCTTTTTTTTTCTTGCTGCCTTGAAGGCAGCGACTGCTGCCTTTAAGCTGCTGCCTTATATTAAGGCAGCAGTTTTGCCTTAATTAATTTTTTATTTTTTTTTTATTAAAAAGCTCGCGAGCTCACGGGCCGGCTCGGGCAAAGCCCGTATCCCCAAAATAGGGCTCGGCCCGAGCTTAGGCTCGGGTCTATTGAGCCCCGAGCTTAGGCTCGGGTCTATTGAGCCCCGAGCCGAGCCACGGGCGGCCCGAGCCGGCGAGCCCGATTGCCATCCCTACCAGTATCTCGTTCCCGAGGCCACACCAGTCAGCACAGAGAACGTCCCCTCGAAAGAGAAGTGGACGCCGAAGTCACATCTTATGTGCAAGGGAACCAGCCATCAGAATCACACTTGGGGGACAATTATCCTAAAAAATATGAGGAACAGAGGTCGGTAAGCGTCTTCGACCGGATTAAGGAGGATCCTAGCAATAGGGTCTGCCCAATGAGAAGATCAGTTCGGCCAGACTAGGAGCAAGAACAGACTTCTCCTCCTCCTAGAAATAGGAGGGACAGGAGGAACCTAATCGATTGGGGGAGTCGAGGAGAAGCATCTCCACTTCCTCAGAACATTCAAGATGATGAAGGGTCAAATGGGCCATGTCGTTCTTATGAGATTGATGATGATGATGATAACCTCACTTTCTCAAGGGAAATCCGAAGCTTCCCAATGCCAACAAATTTCATGCCTCCTAAGATCCCCAAGTATGACGGAAAGGGAGACCCGGAGAAGCACCTCACCAATTATATAACACAAATGAGTCTCAGGGGAGCCTCACTTACTTTGAAATGCAGAGCCTTTCGTTTAACACTAGGCGGAGCCGCCGAAGAGTGGTATAGCAGGCTTCCTCCCCTAAGCATTAGAAGTTGGCCAGATTTGAAGAAGGCATTCTTGAATCAGTACCTCTCGCGAAAAGAATGAGAGGCCCCAGTGCAACGCCTGCAAGACATGAGGCAAGCCCCTGGAGAGAAGCTGAAAAGCTACCTCGCCAGGTTTACGGATGAAATCACATATTGCGAACAGGTCACTGACAGAGAAGCCCTTTCAGCCCTGAAAGACGGCCTCAACATAAACACTTTGTTCTGGAGGGACGTGCGCAGCAAGAATCCTTCCACCTATGAGGAGCTAGTGAAAATGATGAGAATTGAAATCGTGAGTGAAGAAATGATTGATCACCAAAACCATGCCGCGCAGGGACTCCCTCCTCCTCAAAGGCAAGTAGGTCGAGGACCCGCAGCACACCTTGTTACTCAGCAATGGACTCAGGCAGGACACACAATAGCTCCCACCTCCGGGCAGGCACTGGCTTCCGCCACACTAAATGTAGTGCCGGTATTGGCATATGAAAATGCTACTAGCGAAGTGGGGCCATCAGGAAGAAACGATAGCAAGAAAAAGAAGAAGCGATCAAACAGGCCCTTGGAAGGAGCAAGGTTTTGTACTTTCCATCAACTCTATGGGCATGACACCAATGAATACAGAGACGTTCCTCGACGTTCAGACCGAAGCGACCCACATCCCTCCAGGAGGAATGAATATCCTTGCAGATCAGTCTCCCCAAATAGGGGAGATTGAAGGCACAGAGAACAGTCACCTCGGAGAAGAGAATCAAGGGACCAAGGAGAGTCCAGGTAGAGAGATCATGCCCCATTTTCTGGGGGCCAAATCATAAGGGAAATCGACACCATCATTGGGGGACCCCACATCGGTGGCAATACCAGGAATGCACAAAGGAATTATAAAAGGGAAGCAAAGGACCCACCAATAATCACTTACATAGTCAATGAGTCCCAAAAGGCCAACAGGATGGCCCCAGTTACCTTCTCCCAGGAAGATGCGCAAGGAGTTCACCATCCCCATTGCGACGCACTGGTAGTGAGAGCCGTAGTAGCCAGAAATGGACTTAAACGCATGCTCGTCGACAATGGAAGTTCAGTGAACATATTGTTCGGCTCCACCTTTGACAAAATACAGATTAAACATGGGTTGATCCCCATGACCGACCCACTATTCGGGTTTACTGGGGAAAGCATCGTTCCACGAGGGCGGATCACTCTGCCCGTCGAGATGGGTTCGGCACCCCTAGTGGCCCAACACTTCATGGGATTCTTAGTGGTAGATCACAAATCGGCCTATCATGGAATATTGGGCAGACTCGCTTTGAAAGATCTTTGGGTCGTCACATCCATCCACTACTTGTGTATGAAATTCCCAACTGAACATGGGATTGCAACAGTCCGTGGTAATCAGATGGGCTCTATGGCATGCTACTTAAACTCCTTGTGAAAGTCGGAGCCCCGAACTGTTAATGTAATCCTAACTGAGGTTCCCACTAAAATCGGTACAGACGTGGAAATGCTCAACGCCCCTGAACAAGGGCAGACCTTTGAACAAGAGGAAGACGTCGACATGGAAGAGGCCCATGAACAAGGGCACCCTCTTGATGAGTTAGATCCCCGAATAATTGACTCTGAACCAAACGCAACCCCAATAGAAGAATTGGAAACTTTCTCCGTCAACCCAGAAGATCCCAGTCAGGTCTTGCATATAGGAAATGCACTATCCCCCGAAGCAAAAGAATAGATGATGAGCTTCCTGAAAAGGAACTTGGATGTCTTCGCTTGGAAGCATGAAGACATGGTAGGAATAGATCCAAGGATCAGTTGCTACCATCTTAATATCAACCCCTCTTGTGCCCTCATAGACAGAAGAAACGTGCCCTCAACCCGGAGAGGTACAAGGCACTGAAAGACGAAGTAAACAAACTTAGCCGTAGTGGTTTCATAAGGGAAGCCATCTACCCGAAGTGGATATCCAACCCGGTCCTGGTGAAAAAGCCCAGCGAAAAGTGGAGGGTGTGTATAGACTTCACAAACTTGAATAAGGCGTGCCCTAAAGACAGTTTTCCACTTCCAAGGATAGATCAACTTGTGGATTCCACTGCTGGACACGAACTGTTGAGCTTCATGGATGCATATTCAAGGTACAACCAGATACCCATGTTCCGACCTGATGAGGAAGCTACGTCGTTTATTACGGACAGAGGTCTATACTGCTACAAAGTCATGCCCTTCAGATTGAAGAATGCCGGAGCTACATATCAAAGACTGGTCAACATGATGTTTCCCGAATTCATTGGCAAAACCATGGAGGTCTACGTGGACGACATGTTAGTCAAAAGCCTCCAGGCAGCCGAACACGTAAGTCACCTCGACCGAATTTTTCAGATACTTAGAAAATATAAGATGAAGTTGAATCCCCTCAAATGCACATTTGGAGTGGCTTCGGGTCAGTTCTTGGAATATATTGTCAATCAAAGGGAAATTGAAGCAAATCCAGTGAAAATAATGGCCTTGCTAGAGATGAGGCCACCTCAGAAACCAAAGGAGGTCCAAAGCCTCAATGGTTGGATAACCGCACTCAGTCGCTTCATCTCGAGAGCCATAGATAAAAGTTTGCCTTTCTTCAACGTGCTTAAGCAAGGAAAGAGGTTCCAATGAACTTCTGAGTGTGAGAAAGCCTTCCAGGCGCTGAAAAAGCAACCTCAACCAGATGAGTCACTACTGCTATACTTGGCGGTTTCGGACGTGCCGATCAGCGCCGTCCTAGTCAGAGAAGAAAGTGAGCGCCAACTGCCTGTGTACTAGGTCAGCAAAGCACTTCTCTCAACTGAAACACGCTACCCAGATATGGAGAAACTAGCACTCACCCTTATCACAACCTCAAGAAAACTGAGATCATACTTTCAAACCTACTCAATCGAAGTTCTCACCAAGTTCCTATTGAAGCAGGTGATGTAGAAAACAGACGCATCAGGACGCCTGCTAAAATGGGAATCGAGCTCAGTGAGTTCGATCTATTGTTCCGATCTTGACACGCCATCAAGGGCCATGCCCTTACAAATTTTATGGTTGAATTTGCCAAAACCCCAGAAATGGAGGTAACAATGGAACCAGCCGAGCCCCCCACGTGGAAACTTTTCGTAGATGGGTCCTCAGGAGAGACTGGCTCCGGGGCAGGGATCGTCTTAGAAAGCCCGGAAGGCCACAAGCTAAACTGCGCAGTAAGGTTCTGCTTCAGAGCCTCGAACAACGCCGCTGAATACGAGGCCCTTCTTGCAGGTCTTAGACTTGCTAAAGAGATGCAGGTCAGAAGGCTCCTAACGAGCAGTGATTCTCAACTTATAGTGAATCAGGTCAATGGGAACTTCGAGGCCAAGGACAGTAGCATGGTTGCATACTTGAAGTTGGTTCTGGACCTAGTTCCTCATTTTGAAAGGTTCGAACTGACTCAAGTCCCCCGCCTAGAAAATACACATGCAGACGCCCTTTCAAAACTAGCCAGCAGCAAGGATTCAGAGCTGCTAAAAGTTGTCCCTATCGAGCACTTATCAAAGCCCTCTACTTTCGGAGGTGAAGAGGTACTATGGATAGAAGGCACCCCATTATGGATGCAGTCTATCATCGCCTATCTGAAAGATCAATCGCTGCCTGCCTCTAAAAGCGAGCTGCGGAAGTTAAGAAGAAGGGTTGCACACTTCGTCTTGCAAGAAAATACTCTTTACAAGAGAGGCTTCGCCTCGCCACTTCTCCAATGCGTGGGAGGCGAAGAAGCCGCATACATACTCAGGGAAATCCATGAGGGAATCTGCGAAAATCAGTCTGGAGGAATGGCTCTGGCACACAAGGTTCTCTGTCAAGGCTACTTCTGGTCGACCCTGAAAAGGGACGCTTGGCAATTTGTCCGAAAATGTAACAAGTGTCAGCGCTTCTCAAATATTCAAGGGCAGCCTTCTCAGAGCCTCTCTGTAGTAACCAGCCCTTGGCCATTCACCAAATGGGATATTGACTTCATTGGTCCACCCCCCAAAGGAAGAGGAAGCGCAACTTTCGCCATTGTCGCTATTGACTACTTCACTAAGTGGGTCGAGACCGAACCTCTTGCCAAGATCACCGAGGCGAACACTACTAAATTCGTCTGGAAGAACATCATTTGTAGGTTCGGCATTTCCCACTCCTTAGTGTCCGACAATGGAAGACAGTTTGACAACAGGAAGATGCGAGAATTATGCGATGAGCTAGGAATAAAGAAGGACTTCTCAACGCCTCATCAACCTCAAGCAAACGGACAAGTTGAGGCAGTGAACAAGACTATCAAACACACCCTGAAAAGGAAGCTTGACACCTCAAAGGGGGCTTGGGTGGACGAACTCCCCCACGTCCTCTGGGCCATCAGAACATCTAGCCGAACTACAACAGGGGAAACACCGTCGGATACAATTCAATGAGATCAGCAACGACGAGGCTCGAATAAGCGAACTCCACCACTTTGAAGAAAGAAGGGATGCTTCCCAAGTGAGCTTGGCAAAATATCATCGAAAGATGACTTGCTATTATAACTCCGAGGTCAGAAACATAACTCTTCGATTGGGGGACCTCGTCCTAAGAAGGGTCTTCCAATCTTCAAAACCAACAGGATCCGGAGTGTTTGGACCGAATTGGGAGGGCCCTTACCGCATTCGCAGAGAGTCCCGACCTGGCACTTTCGAAATTGAAGACATGGCAGGAAAGACACTACCTCATCAATGGAACATCGAACACTTGAGGAAGTACTATCAATGATGAGCCTTTGTTCCGATCCGATCTCAATATTGTCTAATGAATGGGTGTTCTGATTTGATCTCAGTTGTAAATTCCCTAGCTTACTAAGTGCTGAAATTGTCTTGGCAAAATGCGGTGTAATTTGTCAAAGTAATGAAACTTCGGTTCTATGTCACACCGGTTAGTAAATTGTTTCCTCAGTCCTTCAATCATGTTTACTTAAGTGATTCGATCCTAAATTGTTAACTGATTAACACTAAGAGACACTTCATGTTTACTTAAGTGGTCCACTTCATATTAATTTGAGTGATCCGATCTTCTGTTATTAACTGGTTATTATTAAGGGGCGCTTAGTCTCAAATGTTCATATAAGGATAAATAGATCAATACAACAAAATAGCAGAAGCACCAATACTTAACAAAATATTTCATTTCATTTACTTGAATTTGAAATACAAAAAGGCCGAAGTCATTACAAAAGTTGGCCCTATTCTACTGGAGGGTCTTCTCGTGCCGCTTCTTCCTCGACCGCCTCCGGAACTTCTTCAGCAAACCTGTCAGGCCGGCCTCCAGTTGGTCCCTCGAACTCCGCCTCCAAAGTGGAGATTTTCAGAGTGGGGTGGACCTCTTTCAGCCGACCCAGCAAGCCTTGGGCACTCCAGGAGGCCCAAAAGTTGGCGAAGTCGTCGTACAGGGGGTGTTCTTCGAAGTGGTCAATGAAATTCTGAACCGCCACCTCCCCTGCCGACTTCAACTCCTCCTTCAAGGAGGCGATCTCCTCAGATTGAGCCTCCGCTTTTTGCCTCAACTCCGCCTTTTCTATGTTTGAGGCCTTCAGAGCCTCCGTGGCGAGCCGATGGTGCTCGTTGGCGTGATCCCCTCGCCGAGTCATGGCAGCCACATGGCACTCCACCTCATATAGCTCCTTCTTCCGTCGCTCCACTTCAGCTTTGGCGGCGGATAGCTGGGCCTCGACCTCTTTCCTTCCCTTCTCCTCCTCAGTGGCCTTGGCCCGGGCCTCCCTCACAGCATCTCCATAGTGCATCGCCTCCTCGAGGCGCTTGGCGAGGTCCTCCCTCTTAGCATTTAAATCCTTCACCAAGCCCTCCAGTTGGATGCTGGTGTTGAGAGCCCGGGCCACGCAGGCACTGTTGGCCGCCACCAAGTCTCCGGCCGTGCAGGAAGCGGTGTGGTCCCTCCACTCTTCAGTCCAGTATTTGTTGTGGACCACCGCCATCGCAACCGTTTCCGAAGGAAGAGCTTCCAACACTTCTTTAACCGACTCCTCCGGATTGGTGCCCAAGAAGTCAACCTCCTTAGAGGGACGGACCCTTTTTCTCCTCTGCTGCCCCAGCACTTGGGCAATAGGCACCGCAGCAAGTGACGAAGTGGTCGAAGCAGTAGCAACCTCTGCTGGTGCAGGCCTTTTCTCCGGAATGGCCACCCCGGTTGGAATTGTAGTCTGCTTTAGAATAGGGGGTGGCCTCGCCACAGTTGGGCGTTTGGAAGGGGATCCGCCGCGGGGTCCTCTGGCACCTCCTCCTCCGTCGAAGGCTGGAGCCTTTTACTGGCATCCACCAGGTCCTCCATTTGCTTCTTGTAGGTGGAGGAGGAGGTCTTCAGCGCCCGCGCCTTTGCCATCATCCTTTGGATGGTTTTAAAGTCGGGGCGCACAGGCATCTTCTTGTTGAAGTTATCTGCAAAGAACAAACAATGAATCAGTACAAGTGTAAAGGGTTCAGAAATATGGAAGGGTAAACGCTTCGGGACAGTTACCTTGAGATGCCATCAGATCGTGTGTAACGAAGTGTAGATTTTTTCTGATCAGCCGGTGGTATGACCTCTTCTTCTGAGGCAGCTGATAGATGATGCAAATGGTGTCGAAGTCCTCAGAAGACAGTTCACACCGAGGAAGAGTACCTTCAAAAGAAATGCAAATGTTAGTCACGATCCGAACCGAAGAGAAATATAAAGAAACGCAACTGTGATACTCACTAAGTGTCGAGTACTTCGTGGGGAACGTAAGAGGTGCCAGGGGGTCCCCCTCCATCGTGTCCCATCGTCTTGCGGCCCAGCACCACGAGCCCTTCCACTCTTTGATGGAGCTCAGCAAATCGAGCACAAATGGAGTATGGGAACCCCATGAGGTAAGGTAATACCAGCCCCAGGTCTTATCTCCCCCAGCTGTCACTTTAGGTATATAAAGGGTCTGAAAGACGGAGAACGGCATCTCAACCCCAAGTTACGCCTCTTTCCACGACATCCAGGAGCCCACCATTTGGCACCAGGAGTTCGGGTTGAGTTGGGTCGGGGCTAACCCATATGACCTAAGTACCATTCTAAAGAAAGGGTAAATTAGAACCTTAAGGCCGGCTCTAAGAATTGCCTCACTTATGGCCACGCACCCCGGCCTATGGTAGCAGACCCTCTCTTCAGGCTCGGGGAGGATCAGATTTATGCTATCTGGAATCCTATAATCTACCCTAAGTCTCTCTAGGTCGGCCTCTTTTAGTTTGGAAGGGTAATCTGACGCCTCCCAGTGCATGAAAGTATCAGCTGGGTTATCCGGCCTCCTCCATATGTTCTCCCACCCAATTATCGCTTCGGCTATATCGGAGAAGGTCGCCACAGTGGGCTCGTCCATCCTCACTAATTCTAGCCCCCTCCTCGAGCCAGAACTTTCCTCAAAAGCCATTTTTCAGAAAATAAATATCCTAAAAGATACTGAAACTTACGAATGCAGAGGGTTCCCTAGCCAGAAATGGTCAGAAAATAGTGTAAGGTCGTCGGAAATGGTTATTTCTCGCCGGAAACGCTCGAAAAACGCCGAAAATCATGAATGGTTTGAGAGCAAAATGAGTTTCCTGTTTGCATAAGGGTGAAAAGCTTCAAAGACACTCAAAGTCCACCTTTTATAGAACGCTCCAGCTGATCTCCACCGTTGAATTCAAATGCAATCAATCTAGACCATCCGTCTCATCATCAATCTAGGCCGTTGAAATGAAACACCAGACTTGATCTACGCCTAAGATCTTGCTGTGACCCTCACGCTCGCACATAACGCGTCACCTCGATCACCACCAGCTGTCGACAATAAGTAGCCGCAGCAACTTTTTAGAGAAATGGGCATGGCACCCAACTGTCACCTTGAAAATATGCAACAGCTGTCAAATCATTTAACGTCAGATGCCTACCTCGGGTCGATCTCCTCACTCAACTTTACAAAACTTAGACACACCTGACGTGGGGTCCCCCGCGGGTCATCGCCTCGGTCGCTACGTTCCCTCCTAAGTTTTACAAAGTTTTAGCCATCTCCCAACGCGTCGTCCCCTGTGGGTCATCGCCTCAATCGCTGCGTTCCCTCTTAAACTTTACAAAGTTTTAGCCATCACCCAACGCATCGTCCCAAGTGGGTCAGCGCACCGATCGCAGATGAACTCCTCACTCACCTTTATGAAGCTTAGACGCACCTGACGCAAGTCCACTGTAGGTCATCGTCTCGGTCGCTGCGTTGACTTTCTTCCTACACATCATCCAGTCTTGCAGCACTTCGGTCTCACATAAGTAAGTGTTTTCCTTACGCAGTAGCGAAGCTTTAGAGCATCTGCCTAAGATCGTCGCTTCGGCGAAATCAGAAGAACAACCCACAAGTCGCGGTCCACGTACCGAGGCATACACATCCGGTTAGAAAGGCAAGCCCACCCATGATATAAATATTCATACCTGGACTTGGGGGACCACTGTTACGCCTCTATCCGAAGTACCTCGAAAAATCTACCACCAGGCACTCCGGTCTACTAGACACCCACCCGAAGTGGTTCTGAAGTGATCTCCCCGATGTCAACGAACTGCTATCACACTGCGAGACACAGACGATTCTGCCGAACTGACCGAAGCGCCCTCGCCCATGATGTGGATGCGAAGTGCACTCCGGGACCTCTGTCAGAAGATACGCCGCCGATTTCAGAAGGAGATCTTTGCTAAGATCCTTTCTGCCCCTAAGGTTTAAATTGATTTGACGTCTCCATGAGACTAGTTGATGTGACTTATCAACTTTATATCAACTCAACTCGGGAGAAGCAATTACCCGCCCACTCTACAAACACGGTTGATTGACGCCTATGAGCAGACACCTCATACCGTCAGATGTATACACGTGCCCCATATCCAACAGTTCATCCCACCTATAAATACCCAACGGTTGGCAAGAGGCAAATGTAATGAAACTCTTACTAGATAGCACTCCATAACAAGCATATAAATATTTTCTCCTCCCCTTTATTATTTGGCACAACCCCTGGGTACTGTCCCGACCACCTGAACCTGACTTGATCGTCAGAGTGTATAAGGCTACCACCACCCCCGCTGGTTCCGGCTGTGTGCGTCAGACGTGCATTGATTGTGCGCAGGGAAGAATACGTGGAGTAGCTCTCGATTGACCACGTGGAAGGTCCAATTTTCAAGGTCAACAATCCCGATCCCTATTAGAAGAGGTATAGAAGCTATCACTGATTAGGCCTTATTGTACATCCTCTTCCCAACATATAGATTGCCTTTTGTAATATGTCTTACCAAGAATGAGAAATTGATTATCTTTTTAAGCTTAGCCAAACATGTTCCAAGCAATACAACCTACCAAAGCTCATTATTGTAAATATCAACAGTGTATCATGTCTACAGCAACAAATGTGAAGCTGCACAATTTTATCCCCCACAACAATACACCATTCATCATATGATACAGACAGTATACATGAAATTGTTCAAATTAGTGAAAAAAAATTTGAAATACAAGACAAATGAGGGCAGCAATTGTCGAGCTGACAATCCACTTATTCCGACTAATCCTTCTAGATATCAAAGTCAAGATCTTTTTACTTTTGTCAATGGCATCGTCAACATCATATAGCTGCAAAGGAAAAGAAACTCTAGTAAAACATGGCCTCAACTGTAGCTACAGAAGGATCTATATGATAAGTAGATTAGAACATCTCCAATTGTGACATAAAATTGGGTGTAAATTGATATTTTCAAAATCACTTTTGCATCCTTATTTACATTCTTATGGATCTAAATTCAAATTTTGCTCCAATTGGAAGATCTAAATTCACTTCTTGCCTCTCGTTTTTACATTTTCTGTCAAAAAAAAGGAATTTGCATTTCCTTTACATCTCTTCATTGGATAGGTTTCCGGCCTCTTCGGAGATCCAAATCACAATTTAAATCTATTTTACACTACGATTGAAGATGTTCTTACATTGAACAAAAAACTCCAAGAGAGCCTCTTGTTGCATATTTGGTAAATTGGATTAAACAAGATTTAACGCTACTAAGGTAGAAAAATGAGCTAAAATCATGCATACCAAGACTTCAACAAAAAAACACACGTAACGTTATTAAGAACTCTTAATCGGGGAGTGACACATGCCTTGTTATGGGACTGCAAGAGAGTTTCACGTTGCTATTGCTGATCTTCAAGAATTGACACTTCGAGCACTTCTGTCTCCACTGCAGCATGTCGACTCTCCTTGATTCTGTTAGTTGATTGGTTGAGTCTCTCAATTGACATTGTCAATTTCTCTCTTTGATTTGTAGAAGCCTGTAGACATCATTTAGAAATGACTATTTCGATCATAAGGTAAGAAATGATAGTCATGGTAGGTAGGAATGAGGAGTACGACTCGCGCAGAAAATGATCCAGCAAATGAGGAGACGAGGAAGGTTAATATGTAGAGTATGCAATAATGAGATGAACACTGATTTAGCTGAATAATATGTCTAGGGAGGACACCCAAGTCAACGCTGATTGACTCTTCTCTTTGGTACAAGCTAACACAGCATAATAAAATAGGATACTAGACAGCAAGAAAATAAATACCATGAAAAATATATGGGAAAATTGCAATAGCGGTCCCTAACCTTTCAATTTTTTGCAGATTTTACCCGAACCTTCAATTTGTGCTAGCGAAGGTCCTTAACCTTTCAAAAATATGCGGTAGAGGTCCAAATGGACGGTTTCCATCCATTTGACCATTAGTTGACCATGAAAAGTAAATTTTGACATATTTTGTCCAAATTTGAAAGGGTAAACTTGATAATTACCATATTATTAAATAAAGGGAAATGAACCAAAAAAAAATTTAAAAAAAATCAAGAAAAAAAAAAATGTCACAGCAACCAGCAATGTCAACACCACCTCCAGCTGACCAACCACAGCAACAGATTCAACTGCCACCACAATCATCAAACCTACACCAAAAACCCCCATCCCACATTGTGCAAGAGCTGCACAGTGAAGAGCCACCACCATCAAACATACACCAAAAATCCCACCCAACCCTTGCGCAAAAGCTGCACAGTGAAAAGCCACCACCCCCATCAATCCTACACCCAAAACCAAAAACAACACCTCAACATTTCTTTAAATTGATCGGTTGATTGTTATAATTTTGAGGCTGAAAATCACAAAACTCCATTCTAGTTCGAAGCCGATTTTATTTGCGAAGGAAATGGGAAAAAATGGGCTGCTCAAAGCTGAGTTTATTGGTGGTGCTATATCCTCCATAGTTAGTTGCAGAATGAAGAGGATAATCTCATTTTGTGCCCCTTGAGGATGAGGTGCCGAAGCTTTTCAGTAGTGAAGCACTGGTGTTGCTTGTCGTCGAACCCAGTTGAGCAGCTTTCTGAAGAAGTATAGTTGCGGACATTTGTAGCTATGGGCAATAAAAAATGGGTGAAAGATCTTGAGGTTTTGGAGAAATTTGTTTAGTTTTGTAATGGGTGTGAGAAGGAGTTGTTGCCGATAGTGGTGTGCGATTGATCTCTTGGCGGTGGTACCGGTGATAGGCGGTGGTAGTGGTTGGCTTTAGGGAAAAAGATGCTGGGGTGGGGAGGTTGAAGAAGACAACCCTTTTTTAATTTCTTTTCTTAATTTTTTTATTTTTGATTTTTTTGTTCAATTTATTTAATATGGTAATTATCAAGTTACAAGTTTACCCTTTCAAATTAAGTCAAAATTTACTTTTCTTGGTAAACTAACGGTCAAATGGATGAAAACTGTCCTTTTGGATATCTACTGTATATTTTTAAAAGGTTAGGGATCTTCGTTGGCACAAATTAAATGTTAAGGTAAAGTCCGCAAAAAAGTGAAAGGTTAGGGACCACTGCTGCAATTTTCCCTAAATATATTGACATATTGAACAAACATTCATCTTGGTTAAATCTTCCTAATCTACACAATCTTAGCATGATATCTGTCACCAAGTTTTTCCAGGAGTTGAAAACCAAAAACCATAAAAGATGCTGAATCCCAATATTAAATTTTCTTTTAAATAAAATAATGCACAAGGAGAATTTTTACACGGCTCTATTAATAGTAAAATATAAGCATCCACTCATCATGCAACCAGACACAGATGAATTATCTCCAGTGAGGCTAGATGATGCTACATCGTCAAAGCTAATTGCAGTTCTCCATGCAATATATACATACCTTATATATTAAGGACAAAAAAAATCAACAGGGAAATTGAATGCACGCATACCGAATTTGCACCAGCCATTCCAGATTCTAACAACTCTTCATGGCCAGAACGTTTGACTTAGGCAAAGTTATTTTTTTCAATTCCCTTTTCATCTTATTCAGATCAGATTTATATTCCCTGAGCTTAGCAAGTAGTGTAGCCTTCAAGCTTTGCTGCAAGCTTCTTGCCTCAAGGTCCATTTTCTAATCTGGGAAAATACAACTCATTTTAGGTTAGTACTGAGAGGAAACTCATAACAAGATCAAGGTAGGAAGCTTTTGCATTACAAAAACATCAGCATAATCCAAAGCAGCTTGAATTTCAGAAATCTCTTGTTTCATTTTCTCTAAAGATAATAATGGCACAATTATAAGAGTCCAAGAAAAGACAGTTCCAAGAAGTAAAAAAGGATGATATAAAAGTGAGCAAACACCACCAGATAGACCAGTTGAGCAATATAGAGCATTAGGTGCTGATTAAGAGCATGTTGGCAAAGCTTAAGTTTCTTTTCAAGCAATTTCCTTTTTTGCAAAATAAGTCCGAGATAACTAAGAATATAAAATTTTTAGTTATACAATTTATATACTTTCAGGAAAAATACTTTAAATTTTTGTTAGACATAGCCGAACATACTCTAAAACATTGATTTACCCATACAGAGCAAGTTACATCTCAGTCATTTCTTAAACAACAGCGAATTTTACAACTGAGATAATTAATTTCAGGTGGAGATAATATCATGATGCAGCAGAACCAGATTTATGCATATCAATAAAGAAAGCAGATGTGGATGAATAAACATAAATGAGAGTAAGCACTCAGATTGTCTACATGCACTATAATAAGTATGACATCAACTTTCCTTAATTTATCACTACAAAATGTGGATCAAAATTTCAACCGACGTGAAATTTCAGGACATAATTCAGACAAAGAATTACAACTATCCTACCAGCCAAAAACACTTATCCTGGCTCTCAATTGGATAAAACTCACATCTATTACAAATTCACCATTTAACTCATTACAAAACAATCATCTTGAAAATAAAAGTTAAAAGATAAAAGAGATTTGAAGAACTTTCATTTCTTTTCTAAAGTATAGAAATATGAAACCACTGCTTTTGGTTAGAAATGGAAAGATATCCTCAAAACATGTAATCCTAAGACAAGAATCTGTACCAATGCCTAATTAAACTGATTTTACATAGTGCTTCACATATGGCACTTATTAGGGAGATAAGGTTAATGATACCTAGGATTTTGTCTACATATGCCATGGTACGTTAAACCTCCTCACCCCCACCCAGTTAATGCAACCACCCAAAGAAACAAAATATATACATTTCCTGCTGCGGTTTGCCTAAAAGTAGGCTGCAAAATTTAGAATCTGCATTGGCAAATTCAGCAATAAGCCTGGTTGCGATCGTAAATCTAATAATTTCTAAGTTGTATTCCCCTAAATTTCTCCGTTAAATGTCTGTTAATTTTACCCACATTTCTTTAAAAACCTCAAAATTTCTCTACATATTCTTTCCTCCCAAATTCCTAATCAATTCAAACCCCAGAATAAAAGATCGTCAAATCTTTGATCAAGAAAAAAGTCTAGCACAGTTCAATTATGTAGCCACCACCAGCCGATCAAACTGAAAAAAACCCATTTAATTCAAATTCAAGAAACTGAAGAAACAAGAATATTAGTCAAACTAAAAGACCAAGATAATTATGCAAACAGGTTGGGGAAGCAGTACCAGGAATAAAATCAGTTTTCAAAGACAGAAATGAACGAGTAAACTCGGATTGGAAGTGAGTTTGATGAGCGAGAAATTTTTGGGAGGGACTTGGAGGAAAAAAAGAAAGTGTCTAGAAACAATGCTTTAATTTCTGTGCGGTCCACAACTTTTTAATTATTACAAACTAATACCAGTATTAGTAACTAATAGGAAATGTGGGATAGGCTTGTGAATTAACTTACTTTTGGAAGAGGGAAAAAAAAAAGCCTCTCTTTATACGACACCTGGCAGTTG